TCCGGTGTGTCGCTTCCCGGTAATAGCACGTCAGCCGGCCGGATCGGTCTTTCACGCCGGGACGCGGTCGGGTGAGGACGCACTGGGACACTGGGAGTCAGGTGCTGTAGGAGGGTCGTCTGCCTGCCGGGGGAACGGTTGCTGGGGACAACGGCTGTGGGGGGCTGTGCCGGCTGGGGTCTCTCTATTTGCCTGCTGGCTCTTTATTGGCTGTTAATGCCTGTACATGGACTGTGGGGACGGTCTGGCCGCAGTGCCCTGTGAGGGCTGCGGACTCTCTTCAGGGACATCTCCCACGTCGCCTCTTTGCGCAGCCTGTACTTCTGCGCCCCTTTCTCAGTCTCCCCTTCTGCCTGTGGGCTCTTTGGGTGGGGGGTCCGCTGGCGCGGCATTGTCCATTCTAGGTTTTTTCGTCCACTATGGACAGTTTTGTGTCCCGTATTGAGCGCGCGCTGACGCAGCGCCCTCCGCGTAAGCGTGCCTTGCCGGCCCCCTCTCCGGTCCTTTCTGGAGATTCGGAGGAAGAGGGAGAAATTTCTGCTGCGTCCGTGCAGCCCGACCAGGGGGATTCCTCCCAGCCGGACTCTGGTAGTGACGACGAGTCGGGGGCCTCCCTTATGGTCCAGGAGCGAGAACTGGTTGCAGCCTTGGTTCGCGCTGTGCGGAAAACGCTTAAAATTGAGGAGACCCCGAGCTCTTCGGCGCTCCCACCGGTTCAGTTTGGGACGCACAAGAGTAGGCGGAACTAAGGTTTTTCCTTACGTTCCTTATTTTGATGATTTTGTCTACAAAGAGTGGAAGCGACCGAGCAAGTCTTTTTCCATTCCCAAACTCTTCTCGGTTCGTTATCCTTTTGAGGAGTCCTTCCTGTCTAAGTGGTCCACTCCGGTTTCCCGCCTGAACAAGGCTACAGTCATCCTGGTAGAGAATTTGCCTTCCTTTCGGGATCCCACGGATAGGAAGGCGGAGGCGGAGGCTGTGGCGTGTACGATGTACTCGGTTTCCGGGGCTCTGTTGCGCCCGGTGTTGGCTTCGGCCCTGATCTCCCGGACTTTAACTGAGTGGGCGAAGATGCTGCGTCAGGGTCTCGTGGAAGAAAACGTGTGTCTCCTGCGTATGTCGACCTGGCGGAACAGTTGGTGCAGGGTCTGCAATATGTGTGTAATTCGGCTTTGGATGCGGCTCCGTTGGTTTCCAAGCTGTCGGTGTCGGCGACTCCTTTGGCTTAAATGCTGGTCGGCTGACCAGGCTTCTAAGAAGGCCTTGACGGAGCTCGCCTTTACAAGGGATCGTCTATTCGGTGCTACATTGGACGAGATCATTAAGGATCTGACGGGCGGGAAGAGTACTTTCCTGCCTAAGGCGAATAAGCCTAGGGACCAACGGCGGAAATCTGGTCCCTCCTTTTCCGCTCACAAGCCGCTTTTTCGTCCGCCTCCGCCCTCGGAGAAGGGCGGGAAGTTCAGCAAACCGCCGCCTTCACAGGCTGCCAAGCGACCCTGGCAGCCCAGGACCGCCAAGCCTCAGGGTAAGCCTCCCTCGGCATGAAGGCCTGCCCCCATCCCGAGATTCCAGGGTGGGGGGACATCTTCGGCTCTTTGCGGGCCGCTGGCTGTCACGCGTCTCTGACACCTGGGTGCGGGAATTAGTGTCTTCGGGCTACAAAATCGAGTTTCTGTCACGTACCGGGGACTGGTTCTTTCCTTCCAACATCCGTCTTCCTCCACAGCGCCTGGCGGACCTTCGAGGCGCGGTGGCGGGTCTTTTGTCCCAAGGGGTGGTGGTTCCAGTACCCCCTCAGAAAGGTTCAGAGGGTTTTATTCAAACCTGTTTACTGTGCCAAAGAAGGATGGGGTTCGTCCCATCCTGGACCTCAAGCGGTTGAACACCTTTGTACACGTTCGCAGGTTCTGGATGGAATCCATCCGCTCAGTGGTGGCGTGTCTCCATCAGTGGGACTTCATGGCCTCCCTCGACATCAAGGATGCCTACCTTCACATTCCTGTCGGTACCTCCCACCATCGCTTTGCGGTGGGGGTCGACCATTACCAGTTTGTCGCTCTGCCCTTCGGTCTGGCGTCGGCGCCTCGCGTGTTCACCAAAGTGTTGGCCTCGATTCTGGCCCTGTTGCGTTGTCGGGGGATTTCAGTGGTGGGGTGCCTGGACGACCTCCTGCTGAAGGCGGAGTTGCATTCCTCTTTGGTGGCGTTTCTGGCGATCACAGTTCGGTCATTGGAGGAGTTCGGCTGGCTTCTGAACTTCCAGAAGTCTTGCCTGGTGCCGTCTACTCGGTTGGAGTATCTGGGGTTGATTCTGGACTCTGCCTCAGCGCGGGTTTTCCTACCTCCGGAGAAGCTTCTGAAGCTTCGATCGCACGTGTCGCTGTTGCAGGCGCGTCAGTGGTCGATGATCCGTTTCTGCATGCAGGTCCTGGGCCTCATGGTGGCTTCCTTCGAAGCAGTGCCTTGCACACAGCATCACACGCGGGAACTGCAGCGGACCATCTTGTCGCTGTGGGACAAGTCCCCCTCGTCACTGGACTAGGCGGTTCAGGTGTCTCGGGAAGCGAGGGTCTCCCTGGTCTGGTGGCTTCAGTCCCCTTCTCTGGTCACGACGCATGCCAGCCTGTTGGGCTGGGGGGGGGGGGCGTCCTGGACGTTTGGACGACTCAGGGCTGTTGGTCGTTGGAGGAGTCTCGGCTCTCGATCAACGTGCTGGAACTTCGGGCGATCCGCCTCTCCCTTCTTCATTGGACGTGCCCATTTCAGGGTCGGCCGGTCCGGGTGGCTTACGTCAACCATCAGGGCGGCACAAGAAGTGTGGCCGCGGCTCGGGAAGTGGAGAGAATCCTCTCCTGGGCGGAGGAGCATGTTCCGGCTCTCTCCGCCGTGTACATTCCGGGCGCGGAAAATTGGCAGGCCGACTATCTCAGTCGCCGTGGCCAGGACCCAGGATCCTTGGTCGGATGCGGCGGACGCCCTGGTAGCTCCGTGGGATTGCTACGGTCTGATTTACGCATTTCCTCCGCTATATCTGTTGCCGTGTCTTCTTCACGGGGTCGTGGTAGAAGGCGTCCCGGTCATCCTCATGTCTCCGGATTGGCCGAGGAGGGCGTGGTACGCAGATGTGGTTCGGTTGGTGGCAGACGTCCCGTGGCGTCTGCTGCTTCGTCCGGATTCTGTCTCAGGGTCCGGTGTTCCATCCATCTTTACCGTCACTGGCTCTGACGGCGTGGCTGTTGAGAGCCAGGTGTTGAGGGATCGTGGTCTCTCAGAGGCGGTTATCTCTACGATGTTGCGGGCTCGGAGGATTTACCATCGCACGTGGAAGGCTTATTTTGCCTGGTGTGAGTCGGGTGGGTGTCCGCCTTGTTTGTTTTCCGTGTCCAGGATCCTCGCCTTTTTGCAGCGTGGTGTGGATCAGGGTTTGGCCTTGAGTACGATCAAGGGCCAGGTTTCGGCTTTGACTGTCCTCTTTCAGCGGCCGATAGCCTCCAACGCTTTGGTGCGCACCTTTGTGCAGGGGGTTACTCATATATTTCCTCCTGTTCGCTCCCCGTTGCCGCCGTGGGATTTGAATTTGGTGCTCTCGGTTTTGCAGGAATCTCCCTTTGAGCCCCTGCGTGAGATTCCGATTCTGACTCTGTCCCAAAAGGTGGCCTTTTTGGTGGCGGTCACCTCGGTCCGCAGGGTTTTGGAATTGGCGGCTCTCTCTTGCTCGTCCCCATTGCTGGTTCTGCATCTGGACAAGGTGGTTTCTGCGGCCTCGGCCGTCCTTTTTGCAGAAGGTGGTTTCAGCTTTCCATCTCAATGAGGACATTGTCTTGCCTTCCTTGTGTCCAAAGCCTGTCCACAGGAAGGAGAAGGCGCTGCACTGTCTGGACATGGCCCGTGCCATCCGTGTTTATCTGAGTGCTACGGCTTCATTTTGGGAATCAAAATTCCTGTTTGTCTTTGCTGATGGCCCTCGAAAGGGCCGGGCTGCCTCGTCGGCCACCATCTCTCGATGGATTCGCAACACGGTTTCTCAGGCGTATGCTATTAAGGGGCGTGAGCCTCCTTTTTCTGTTAAGGCCCATTCTACAAGGCTGTTGGGGCATCTTGGGCTTTTCCTCATGGTGCCTCAGTTTCTCAGGTTTGTAAGGCCGCGACTTGGTCTTCTGTTCACACCTTTGCCAAGTTCTATAAGGTGGATGTTTTGGCATCTGCGGATGCTGGTTTGGGGTGCAAGTGTTTTGCAGGCGGCCGTTTGAGGGGATATTTTGTACAGTTGGGTTTGTTGTTTGTTTTGGCCCACCCCTCTTTTAGGACTGCTCTGTGACGTCCCTATAGTACATGATCCTAGATCTGTTCCCTGTGTCCTTCAATGAACGGAGAGAAAAGGATTTTACGGTACCAAAATCCTATTTTTCAGGGTAGGTCTTATATTTTAGCAATTCCCAAAAATAGTACTAGGTCTTATTATCGGGGTAGGTCTTCTTTCGGGGAAACAGGGTAAGTGTTACAGGGTGACTCTTGATTGTTTCTGCAAGGTTAAATTGGCTTTGTAATTTATAATCTTTTGTTTAAAAAACAGGTGGTGTATTGGTTTAGCTACAGAATAGATTTGAGATTACAATATACAGGTGAAACTCGAATAATTAGAATATTGTGCAAAAGTAATGGCAGTAAGTGCTGCAAAAGGGGCCCAAACCAAGTACTGAGTACATATGCATGCTTGTACTTTTTCAGAGGTCCGATATTGTTCTATGTGCAATCCTTGTTTTATTTATTACATGCAATCATCTACTTTTTTGAGGTTGTGGATTTGGGGTTCTTGGGGTTTTCATGAGCTGTAAGCCATAATCATCACAATTATGACAAATCACGGCTTGAACTATCTTGCTTTGCATGTAATGAGTCTCTCTCATATATTAGTTTCACCTTTTTAAGTTGCATTAGTGAAATAAATGAACTTTGCACGATATTCTAATTATTCGAGTTTCACCTGTAAATGCGTTAAACGGTTCTAGGTGGCAGGAATTCTATTTACTATTTCAAGTAAAGCACAGAACGTTTTTTGATTTAAAGGAAGATCATTAGAACAAAAACAAAATAAGATCATCTCAAACATGTACTGCGGATACTGCGCAATAGTACAGGTAGTGAAAAAAATTACATCTTGGACCCACAACTCAGAATGACTATTTGGTGCCTAATCTTAGTCAAACTCTAACAGAAACCTGTGAATTCTAAAACAGTGCTGCATTGCTTTATTGCATTTATAGCTATCTAACAGAGCTGTGGCACTTTTATCCAAATTTGTCCTTAGTTTTTAGCAAATGCTATGGCCCTCTGCACAAAAATCCTCACGAAGCCAACATCAGATTTTCTGTCATGCTGGGCCCCATAGCAGTTGCATGGTCTGCTATGCCTACTGTTCTACACTTGTTCTGCTACAAAATGGAAGGCTTCCCACAAACCTGTCCTCCTGATGGATGTTGAAGTTTTGTTCTTCGGTAGCAGTTTCAGAATTGTCTGTCTTGCCTGTAGAGCTGTGACTGGTTCCTGTTATGCTTTGCCTGGCATTTGTTATGATTAAAAGCCTGTGCCATAAAAAACCTATTTTTCTGAACGGCAGCACTATCGTGGACTAACATCACAGTGTGACTTTTAACAACTCTTCTGCTGACATATCCAAACATGTATCCTCACTTTCTGTCTATCTGAATTATACAATTTCTGTACTTTATCATTCTTCCTTTTCCGTGTCCTTTTTACAGTAATATTATATGACTGAACCACTCTTCTGCCCCTAACCACCCTATAGCTGCCCACTGTCTCTGTCTTTATAATTATGTATTCTTGAACATTTATTATGTTTTGATTCACATTTCCACTCTGTTCCTACTGTTTCTTTGTGTCCCTACCTTCCCTTTACCCTACCCTATTCCATTCCATCCTGTGCCACTCCCCTTCCTTCATCCCTCCATATGTGGACTGCAACTTTCCTGTTCTCCGCTCTGGATGACAATCTCTTTGTGTCCAGGCTATGAACATGGTAAGTTGGTGTTTGAAAATACCGTAACCTCTTAATATAGTACTCTTCCTTTGAATTTGGTTGTATGAAGATTTTGCTTTGCATGAAATGGAACAATATTAAAATGCAACTCCCAGCCAACATTTTTTTTTGTTTAGTTTTTGCAGAGCGGAGAGGGCTTAGATCACCTGCAAGGTTTTTTTTTTTTGCTGTGTGTGTCCATGTCTGGTAGCATTTATCAGGTCAAATAGAGAGGGTAAATCTATCACCTGATGAGTAAGGGAAACAAAATCCCAACAAGAAAATATTCCGATGGGAAAACAAGTCTTGGTGACAACAATGGATTTCCCTCACTCTTGAGGGCTTTGCTGCAGTCAAAACATGAAATCAGTAAAATACCAATGCTAGTTTGGAAACTGCCATTTTTGTAATTTATCATTATAATTTATCATCTGTGTTTGCATAATCTGCAGAGCCTGATTCAATGGATTTCTCATATTACTTCTAACTAGGCCTGCAGTTTCTTGTCAAATGACCCCGAGCTGTGCAACCACTTTCTCATGCATAAGGTGTATATATGTAGTAAATTTGATATTCACCACATATTTACTGCAGGTGAATTAATATGGTGCATGTGTCTAAAGTTACAGGGAATGATTAACCACCTGTGAATGTTATATGGTTATAGTCACTGTTTTATAAATATACCCCAGTATTGTGTGTAAGTGAGGTAGCAAAATAAGCTTAAAGTGTATTTCCACTTTTGCAGCCAAATTGGGATAACACCTATTTCAAATGTAGTATATGTTCTCATTCACATTGCATAACTTGAAAAAAATATATTTTAAAATCGTTGCTACATTTTAAATATTTTGTATATGCTTAAAAATCCTACCTGGCTTTCCCCCATGTGATGTTACGGGCCGCCGTAATATATGGGCCTTCTGTCCCACACCAGTGATGACTCGCCCTCACATGGATCCAAGTGACACCAATACACTCTCCTAAGTCTGTCCTCCTTGTGGTGTCTCTGGAGCCAAAAAAAACTGCCTGGCAGCCAATTCCAGCTCTTCTGGGCTACTATCCAATCAAGTCCTTCCTTGCCTTTGTTGTTAGGGGTGGGCTTCCCTCTTAGCTACAGCATTAACCAATCCAAGAACAATCCTGCAGCTGTAGCCAATAGAGTCTCTCCTCTAGTCTCTGTGAGCTATCAGTTTAGACAGAAAATGCAATGTTTCAGAGAGCAATACTCTGCATATATTACAGAAGCAATACTAAGTCTGTGCTACATCAAGTAGGAGATTGTGGCAAATTGTTTACTCTAAAAAACCCTGTCTGTACTAATTGCATTATCAATTGTAAACTGGATTTGAACACGGTCTGTCCTAACAAAGGTTTTAAGACTTGGAAAGATTGTATGTTAATGAGAGGAAGTTTACTTTGTCCTTAAAGGAGAACTTTGAGGTGAGTGATTTCCACTCATCCTCATAGTTAGAACTGACCTGTGACAAAGAAGCTGTCACAGGTCGGTTGTATCGGGAAGTGAGCAGAAACATGCCGCCAATCCGCTCACTTCCTGATCGTCTCCCTGCAGTGAACCGTGACTGTTGGTCACCGCTCCCCGCAGGAATTTCTCCCTCCCCTCTCCGATCCTCCAGCGCTGGTGGAGGATCGAACGAGTGAGGGGGCAGGCACAGCTGGCTCTGCCTCTAGATCACGCAGCTGGGCGGATCTCGACAGATCAGCCCGCGATATACTGAGCTGTGGGTTACTGGAGGAGGTTAGTATATGTCCTCCCGTGACCCTAAGTAGAACTATGGGGGGAAAACAATTTCCCCATAGTTCTCTATTAAACTTTCAATCTGCTCAGAGTAGCCTGGAACTGCTCTAAGGTCTTCACATCTAAAAAGTAAGAAATATATTTTTTAATTATTTTTTTGTCATGCTGTGTGAATGGGAACACATAATATATTGAGGTTTCTAAAATTTGACTACAAAAATAAAAATACACTGAAGAAATTGCAACTTTTACACCAATGAGCACATTGGTTTGCTATTGCACAGGCCAGAATTCGGGGTCAGACAGAACTCATGGATACCAGTAACAATAGAAAATTGACTAGTGGAGCAGCTAGATGTAAATGATGAATGCTAGAAGAAAACTAAGAGCAATTCAATAGTCTTTCTACCTCAAATCACTTAATAAAAGCATGATCATACCCTTTAAAGACTAGTGTTACCGGTAATATGTTTAAAAAAACAAAAACATTTTTGCAATATGCAACCAAGTACTTTATAGTGGTCTTAAAGTGACATTAAACCCTCAGATTTTTTAACATAAAACAATACTGTAATGTGTGCCTTACTGTAATCCATGGTTATTTCCCTTCTCTTTGCTGCTCTTCCTTTTAAATCTGTATCTGTTCTCATGCTGGGCAGAACTTCTGTTTTGCAGCAGACCGCCTTGTCTCTGAAAGGGATACATGGTGTCTGTGTGTTGGTTTGCAACCTGAGCCAGCACTACAGGAAGAGGCACTCAGCTGCAAAGGGAAGTTCTCCCCAAGCATGAGAAGAGATACAGATTTAAAAGGAAGAGCAGCAAAGAGAAGGGAAACTACCTTGGATTACAGTAAGGCACACATTACAGTATTGGTTTATGTTAAAAAATCTGAGGGTTTAATGTCACTTTAAGTTCAGATGAATTGTGTTTTGCAGGCAACCCAAGGACACAAAATGCAAACAATTGTTTTTGGTTTGTCCCATTCACTCCACAACATGAGAGTGATAGACATGCTGCATTTTGTTGCAGCGCACCGAATGCCACCGCACTGCGCTGTGTGGGGACCTGAATGGAGTGTACACACTGTACACTCTACATAAAGTTAAAAGAAAAAATGTAAGCAGTGACTGCTTCGATATTGTGCGATACAACTATGGGGGGAATTTATCAAAACTGGAGCAGACAGAATCTGGAGCAGTTGCCCATGGCAACCAATCAACATCTCTCTTCAGTTTTCTCAGGTAAGATTTGAAAATGAGACAAAGAAGCAGATTGTCTGCAGTGCAAATCTGCTCCAGAATTTGTCTGCTCCAGTTTTGATAAATTCCCTTCATAGTGTTTTAGTGGATGGGCTAGTGTCAAAGGGCTCTTAGCTCTTAAATCTGAGACATTTAGAAAGTTTGCCCATTTAGAAAGTTACAGTTTTAACCTGTAGCTTTTAAATTATATGAACCTCCATTGTAAACACCCCTACATTTTGACCAAACATGCTACACAAAACCTGAAACCGAAATAGAACCACATACTGGGGTCAGCAGTACTGTGTCTGGCACTTCGATTTATCAAGCTTTGCCAGGGACAGCAGCCGCTACTAAATCTCTATTATTCTTGTGTAAAGATATGTAGTAGTTTATTGTCTATGTGAAATAGCTATATGAAATAGCATTTGTCCTCTAGTGGCTAAAATCTATATATGTTATAGTATCATAAAAATATGACACAATTAGTTGGTGATATGAAAATTACAAGGAAAAAGGTTTTAACAGCAGGATATGAAAATGTGTGACAGCTTCCCCTGTAAATATTTGCACTACTGTAAATAGTAATAAAAAGAGTACTGTCCCCCCACAGCACCACTTCGGTTGTCTTGACCTGCATCTAGACATGGTACTATCTGCAGGGGAACCATTTTATGTTATACAAGTGAAATACAGGGGCTCATTCTGGTTGCCTGGTTGTTTTGCTGTTCAAGTTAGTCATTTTAAAATTATTGGACACTTGTTCCCTTTTCAATGACATTGCCAGTGGGGTCACCATGCAGCCAGGCTATTAGTATGTTTAGTGGCAGCATTCATGTTTCTTTCATGACTGGTTTCCTTCAAGTCCAACAAGCAATAACAAAAACAATGGATTCAAGGGTACTAATTGGGCTGCCTTAATGCAATGCACATTGTGTTGTAATGAGACATCCCTGTCTCAGTCATCCATTGATTTCATTTAGAGGTCAAAGCCTTTAAATGAGTCTATACAATTTTTATCCAGTTGAATATACAGCATATTGACTTACTGAAAAATTGTTTTCAGGACACTTATTTTTCTAGAGGATCTCATTGCCCTCCCAGATTACAGACTACACAAACATTTGTTTTCGGGTTTAGATACGCATTTATATTTTTTTCTTGTTCACTGGGTGACACACGATTTAGAGACTTTTGGGTTATACTGCCGCCCACAGGAGGATTAACCTTAGCAAACAAGGTCAGGGCCTGGTATAACCCCTCCCGCATTCCAAATGTAATTGTTTTTACTAGGTATTCTTTTTAATTTTTTTCCTCCTTTTCTTTAATCAACACTTCCCTACACATTGCTTGAGCAGAACTCTCTATGCAGCTATCCAGATCAGCAGCACTAGCTTTGGAGGCTGTACCAGGACCTTGCTGGACTGGACGATTGCAGGGCTTAGCGTTGTTCTTAGGTCACTGGCCTCTTTATTGTGTAATTTCCTTGACCTGAGTGCACTGTTTTAGCTGCAGCACTTTCCCTGGACCAGAACCATTGCACAGCCTCTGGTGTGACCTATTCTCTGAAGAGTAAAACAGTAGAAAGGTATCATGGCACACTCACAAACCAGCATGTAAAACAACTTGTCTCACCACTAAGGTTAATAACAGAGGTTTGGATACACGTCTTCTGCAGAAAATGTGAAAGCCGCACAGCCGCGCCAAGGCACCTCCTTATAGGGTGGTCCTAACTCTAAGCTATGAGAGTCTCAATCTTGGAGCACATGGGGGCAGAAGATTTCAAATTGGGTGCAGGTTTGTCAGGAGGAAGCCCAACCTCCTTAAAGGCACAGGAACACACAAGAGATTTCGTGTGCACCTTACTTTATAGCTGGTGACAAATTGTTGAGTGCGTTTGTCATTTGTTTTGCTAGTCTCTGAAGAATCGCTTTGTGAATAAGCCATATGGGCTGAGCATCCGGAGCTACCTCCCTAATAGGATCGTAGAGCACCCTTGGTAT